AGTAGGATGAATGAATTATGAACGATGAATTATGAATTAATTAAAAGCTAAGTATAATATATGTATAATTATATATATATATATCTTTATTTAATTCATCGTGCTTTATAACTTTTAATTAATAATCAATCCTTAATGAAAAACGAAATACTGAAATTAATATTAGTAGTAAAAAGTATAACTGAAAATCATAAAGGAATAGAAAAGGAATATATATAGATATCTTATTCATCGTGCCTTATAACTTTTAATTAATAATCGATTCTTAATGAAAAACGAAATACTGAAATTAATATTAATAGTAAAAAGTGTATCATAAAAGAATTGAAAAGGAAAATATTAATTAATAGTTAGAAGAAATAAATTGAAAATAAAAATTCATACGCCAAATTTGAATTAAATTATTAAAAATTGAGAAACATAATTATTCCCTTTTTTTATAACTTAATTTAAATTATTAGAAAAATATGAAAAATTGCGAAACTTAATTTAATTTTAAATCTTAATCTTAAACTTAATTATTTTACTTTCTTTTTTAAATAAGAAATTAATAAGAAATTGAATAAGTTAAATATAAATTTCTATTACTACTTGAATAAATTAAAATTAAGGAAACAATGGTACCTCTTTTTTTCTCCCATAATCATTTTCAAAAGAACAAATACTATATTAATAATTGACAAATGATTTTTTTACTTTTTGTTTTTTTTTAGTTTAAAATAATTGATGAGTGTTACGTGCAAAATATAAACTAAGTTAATTTGAATATATTCGAATTCGATTAGAAATTTGAGTTAAAAAATTAAGTTAATGAGAATTTTTGATAAGTTTTAGCAATAACTTTAAATTTTGAATAGTATTAATAATAATTGGAAATTAAATATTGAAATAAAAAATTGATTAAAAATTAAATTTGAAATGATAAAAAAATTATTCGTTTTAAAATATTGATAATAAAAAAAGAGAAAGATAAAAAAACGTGGTATAGTTGCTTATATTTTATTTCTCACAGATATCATATTTTCGCTTATTATAATTAATAAGAAATAAATAGTCATAGTAGTAGTAGTAGTAGTAGTAGTAGTAGCGGTGATAATATAAATGATATATTGATAATACGGTAAGTAAATAATTTTCAAATAAATAAGTTACTAAATTTTTTTATATTAATTAAAATAAATGGAATAAAATATTACCTCTCGACTACGGTCACCGAATGGTACTAATAAATTACTCATAGCACGAAGTATTGCAACCAATGATTGTATCGTATTACTATAAACCACCGGTTTATACTGTTTATAATCTTCGGCTGTGAAACCTGATTCGTGTATAATCCTGTAAAATAATCCGGATTAGTATGCACATTCATTTGTTTATATTTTTGAAAAATATCCAGTATTTATTAAATATTTATCAACATTTAAAATATATAATGCATTACAGTGAATTTTTCATTTTTCATTTCGTTACAATTTCTCCGATAATAATTATAATTTTGTATTATTAAAATATTAACACATTTACAGCTATTAGAGCATATACTTCTTTTGTTTTAACTATTATCCAAATTCAAATTAAATAATTAACATTTTTGAAATTAAAAAAAAATAATATAATAGGAAGAAGAAAAAAAATAAATTACATCCGTTGATTAGTACAAAAATAAGTTGCTGCTAATGTGGAAATTATTTAATAATTAATAAGTTTTAATTAAATATGCAAAAATATATCGTAGTAGGCAAATTTTCTGAGAAATAAAAAAGTACAAATAATCGATTATTTAAATAACAATTTAAATTCATTATAAATTAATAATTACCTAAACTTAAAGCTAAATTAAAGCTAATTTAAAGCTAAATTAATAAAATCTATATGTGTAGAAAAAGAATGATGCATACTTCATTTGTTTGACAATTGTTGATTTACCAGATTCACCAGCACCTGAAAAGAAATCATCCTTTTCTTCTTTTATAAAACTAATACTTTATAAATGAAATATTAATTAAGTAAGCATTTAGTTGTCAAAATATTAATTAAATAAGCAACTAATTGTTAAGCATTGAAATAAATATATTTATTTTTGTAAAGTTATAATTTAAATTTGAAAATTTGATATTTCAATTCATATAATTAATATAATTATAAATAACAAAATATAATAACTAATTGAATCTAATAATAAATTAATAATTACAATAGGGAAATAATATCTAATAAATTAATAATAACAACAGGGAAATAATATTTAATAGATTAATAATTACAACAGGGGAAATAATATTTAATAAATTAATAATTACAACAGGGGAAATAATATTTAATAAATTAATAATTACAACAGGGGAAATAATATTTAATAAATTAATAATTACAATTAGGAAATAATATTTAATCGAAATCTATTAGTAAACAAATATGAATAAATAATGATAAATTAACTGTAATAAAAAGAGAAATAACATATTGTAATCATATTTAATTATCATATTATCAATCGAAAATATCTAATAACTATTTTGCATAGTAATAAAATACAAAAGATAGACCTAGAAGTAATAATTTGATATCTTTAGCAGCTTGTAAACCATCATCTTTTAAATTTTTTTCAATCATACGAGATCGTTCAAGAGCTGCCCGTTCCTCTTGGCTCATCGTGCAACCCATTGTTGCAAACGAACGTTGAAATTATTTATTTCAACTAATTTTCGTTCTTTTCTTGTTTTCACGTTTTCTTTCCTTTCCTTTTTTTTTCCCGTTAGATCACCTTAAATTATTAATAGTAATTAAATTAATTAATAAATTTACACATCTGTATACGTATATATACACGTGCAACAATTAATAGAAAAGAAGGAAAAAGAAAGGAATAATTTGAAATTTAATGAGAAAAAATTTTTTGCTTAATAAATTAAATTAAAAAAAAATGAAAAATCTGTCAGTTATAATAATGAAATCAGTTATAGTAACTATAATATATAATAGTTATAATAATCAGTTATAATAATTTTATTTAGCAAATTCTTATTTGATTTTCTTTAAATTAAATTTTAAAGAATAAAATGGATGATAATGAAAAAAACGTATTTGAATATTCTATTAATAGAAACAAAGATAATTTTAAAATGAAAAAAATTATTCCTAAAAATAAATTAAAATAAAATTTTGTGAAATATTATTAGCTTGAAATAATCGTAATATTATAAATTCAAATTTCGTATTATAAATTTAAATTAAAGCATACATTAGGAATGAATAATTTTTCCTGTCACATTTTACTTTCACATTATTTATAATATAAAATAAATGGGAAAAAGTAAAGCTAAACGTATAATTACATGTCAAACGTATAATTACAGGTCATTGCCTATTTTATTTACAAAATTCACTTTTAGTTTTTTTCTTTTTAAATTCATAATTTTAAATAATCCGAAAAAGCAAAGCTAAACGTATAATTACGGCCCATTGTTTATTTCATTTACAAAATTCATTTTTTGTTTTTTTTTCTTTTTAAATTATTAATTTTAAATAATTCGAAAAAGTAAAACTAAACGTATAATTACAGGCTGTTGTTTATTTTATTTACAAGATTAATTTTTCGTTTTTTTCTTTTTAAATTTGTAGTTTTAAATAATTCGAAAAAGTAAGGCTAAACATATAATTATAGGTTAAACGTATAAATTACAGGCTATTGCTTATTTTATTTACAAAATTAATTTTTCGTTTTTTTTCTTTTTAAATTTGTAATTTTAGATAAATCAGAAATATGTGTGCAACGTAATGAAATATAAAATAATTCAACAAACAATTACCGTAATTTTTTTTTTTTTAAAATTAAATCTTAAATTAATTGTGTAATGTATCAAATGATTATTTTTGAAAAACACTTAATTTCTAATTAAAAAGCGATAAAAATGTCAGGTTTGATTTAATTAGAGATCGATTAAAAATAATAGATTAAGTTGCATTTGTCGAAAAATCTTTCCAATACATTTTATTTGTTTTTACGAAAATTGAAGTGAAGAAGGATTGAGAATGAGAATGAGAAAAAGAATAAAAGCAACCAAACAAAATTTCAATTCATATCACTTATTTGAAAACATTAAATTGGATTTGAGATAAAATCTATTATTGCATACGGAAAAAATATAAATCGGATTTTGAGCATTTAGAATTTCGAAGTTCGAAAGAAAATGAGAAGTAGGAGGATATATCATTTTTCACTTCTTCCTAACGAAATTCTCTTTGTTTCCATCCATCTTTACTACACTACCTATCTCTTCAAAGCAAATAGAAAAGCGAAAAAACAAACCTTTTTTGCTATTTCAGGAAAATTTTCCTGATAATTTCATTTATGCGTCTGTCTTTTTTTTTTTTTTTTTTTAACCTAAATTTCTTTCGCTGTGGAAAAAGAAAAAAAGGTGAAAAAGAAATGGATTAAAATTTTATCCTAAAATTTTTGAATGAATGAAAAAAAAAAATGTGAGAATTATAAAAGTTTGAGAAGATTGAAATGGAACAATTACACGAAATAATAATTAACAAATTTTAAGTAATTTCATTTTGTTTTTTTTGTTTTTTTTTTCATTTATTTAGATGAAAAGAAGGAAACGGGAATGATAGAATTTTTTGAAATATGTTAAAATTATTGTCAGTTTCATTACATTTCATTCCTTTTATTTGTTTAGAAGAAAAGAAGGAAAAGGAAATGATTTGAAATTTTTTCAAACATGTTAAAAATTATATCAGTTTAATTATTATTTAATAAAATAATATTAATTTAAAATAATTAGCAAAGTGAAGTAATTTCATTTCTTTCATTTATTTAGAATAAAAGAAGGAAAAGGAACTGATTTGAAATTTTTTGAAATATATAAAAAAATCATACCAGTTTAACTATAAGAATAAAATAATAATAATTAAAAATAAATAAGATGATTAAAAATATTGATATTAAATATCATATTAAAAAGTATCATTGTTATTATTAGGTAATAACAATTGTTAATCGTATTTTCACCTAGTTTTAGCTTAAAATTTCGACAAAATTGCCGACAATAATATTAACCTTCATTTCAGAATTATATGCTAAATGGAAAACTTAATAATAATTGAATTAATAATAATAAAATTAATAATAATAGAATTTAATTAATAATAATAAAATTAATAATAATAGAATTTAATTAATAATAATAGAATGCAGTTGATTTAAGTGATAACTTATATTAAGTGATAATATAAAGAAATAAGTGAGTTGAACATTAAGAAAATTCAATGTAACGATAAAACGGCAATGTTCAAAAAATCAATTGGTATAATCCAAATAACATAAAATATAATTAATCCATTTCAAATAATATATAATAATATAATATAAATATATAAAAGAAATCAGTGAAATAAAAATATTGAAAAAATTTGAAATGGGTCAAAAAAGAAGAATAAATAAGAATATGAGAAAGAAGCTGAAAATGTAAGAATTAAAATTAAAAGCAATAAAAACAAAAAGATAGCATAAAATGTAAATGAATGATAAAAAATGAAATAATTTAAATTTGCATTTTCCTCAATCTAATTAATTACTTTATGAAACTTCGAATAACTGTTATTTTTTAAGGAATTAAAAAATGAGAGAGGAAAATGAAATGAAATGAAATCATAGTTTTCAGGTTCCGGATATCCATCTTGAATATATATTACAATTTATTTTTGTCATATGAAATAATATATTCAAGTTTAAATGAATGATTTAAAAATTTTAAATAAATCGAAGCAANAATGAAATGAAATGAAATCATAGTTTTCAGGTTCCGGATATCCATCTTGAATATATATTACAATTTATTTTTGTCATATGAAATAATATATTCAAGTTTAAATGAATGATTTAAAAATTTTAAATAAATCGAAGCAATAATATAATAGATGATAATTGAGTATGACAGTTAAAATACGATAATTAACCTAATATGATAATTGAACGTGATAATTATTAAATATTTACCTCTTCAAAAAAAAGCAAAAACTTATCATTAATTTGATCATTATTAATATTAGGCCGCATATATTTACAATACGATAAAATTGAGTATACTATAATTATTTAGGAAATATTTCTACTTCAGAAATTCGTTGATTACTGATAACTTTATAGCAATAATAATTATTACAGTCTTCACTATTATTGGCGTAATAATAATGATCATTACTAGTATTATTATTATTATTGTCATTATTATTATTATTATTATTATTATTATTATTATTATTATTATTATTGCAATCATCACCATTATTAGCTTAACTATATTTGATAATATTTACGATAACACTTCAATTCCAAAAAAAAAATTTTCTGATTATTGATAATTAGATTGATAACTTTTTATTCAAAAAAAATTTTCTTATTATTGATATGTTTTCAGCATAATAACAACAGCAACAATAGTAATAATAATTAAAAAATAATAATTAAAAATAATGATAATTAATAAGAATAATAACAATAATAAATGAATAAATAGATAATAATTGTTCTTATTAAAAGAAATATTTGTGACTATTAATGATCTCAATTTAATTACTCTTATTATTGTTATCATTTTTATCACTAAAATTCTATTTTGTCTAATATTTATACGAATTAATTAAAATTGAATAATTATATATTACGATAAAGAAGGAAAAGGACATAATTATTGATTATTACTATTATTGTTATCATTTTTATCACTAAAATTCTGTTTTGTCTAATATTTATAC